TATACTGGCAGGTCAGAGGGTGGTAGTGTGAGGCTTTCGGTGTCAAACGCTGAGGATGGAGAAGAAGCCGTCAGACTGGGTAGAGTGGTCACCTTGAAGAAATCGGTTTGAGTTGAGAGATGGAGCCAGACTGCCAAGTGGAGGGCGACTGAGAAGTGAAGGCAGCCAGCACAGATAGCTTTTGTCCTTGGGCTCTGGGACACATTGGACGATAAGTTGATGTTGGTTAAGCAAAGACTAAGGATGAGGGTGTCGTGAGTTGGTTTGTAAGGAGCAGAAAAGCAGGGAGCAAATGAAAGTGAGAAGGGTCCAGCGTGAGCCCCTGAAGCCTCTTTTTTTCCCTCAGTAAGGTAAGAGGCCAAGTCCTCGGCTGAGAGAGGGTTGGGTTTGGAAGGCTTGAGAAGAGATTTGAAAAACCTGCAGCAGAAACTGCTACCTTCAATTAGGGAAGAAAAATGTTACCTTCCTGCAGCAAGGGCTTGGTGGAGATTACATTTAGATTTGTTGGAGCTGTGGGGGAATCCCAAGCCTTCTCCTGAGGTCTAGGGTGTCACTTGTGGGGAATCTTCCCCAAAGTTAACTATGCGGTCACATTTGGGAATGGAGGAAAGTGAAACCAGAGCAGTCTAGCACTGAAAGGGGAACCGGAGAAACTTTGGGGCAGAAAGAATCGTTTGGGGGTTATGAACCAAGGAGAGATGGCGACGCTACAATTGGAAAAGTTTCAGAGATCTGGATCACAGACACGGACCATTTCTGGGTGTGACCACCTGTGAGTGACTGAGGTGGAGAGGAGCTGTAGGAGATGGCAGATGAGGGCATTTAAGGGAAAATGAGGCTTGGAGATGGAGAGAAGACTGGAAGCCAAGTACTGAGTAAAAAGAGAGCTGGAGGGGCAGCTAGGTGGTGCAGTGGATAGAGCACCAGTCCTGGAGTCAGAGAACCTGAGTCCAAATTCAGCCTGAGACACTTGACATTTACTAGCTGTGTGACCCTGGGCAAGTCACTTAACCCCAATTGCCTCACCACAAACAAAAAAAGAGGGAGCTGGAGGCCAGTGAATGACCGCCATCAGGACCTGGATAGACTAATAGATAGTCATTAACTATTTTTTTTTTGACCGGGCAATTGGGGTTAAGTGACTTGCCCAGGGTCACACAGCTAGTGTCAAGTGTCTGAGGCCGAATTTGAACTTGGGTCCTCCTGACTCCAAGACTGGTGCTCTATCCACTGCACCACCTAGCTGCCCCTTGTTGTTAAGTTTAAATAAGAGGTTGATTTACTATAGCAGTAAGAAAGGCTAGAAGTAGCAGTGGGAGAAACAAGGAGTATGCCTGCTTCTCCTGGTCCAGTGTTGGCGAGAGCAGGTGGGGGTAGGGTGAGAGATATATTCAGTACTGGAGATGACCAGTGAGGATGCTGTTTTCTGGGTGAGGCCAGGTCTGTTTGAATGCCAGATGGAAGGGCCTAGCATAAAAAGTTTTTAAATAATAGAACGTGGATTCTAGGATATACAATGGAAAAGAAGGGCAGTCAGGTGGGGGGCTTGGTTGGAGCAAAACTGGAGTAGGTGGGAGTAGGAAAGTAGTGGTAGCAGGGGAGGAGAGTGGTTTTGGCTCAAAAATAGGCAATTTTTCTACTGCTGGGTTTAGGAGGGGAGGTGAGTTTCAGCTAGGTATTGCCTTTCGATTGGGGATCTCAAGTTCCAGAGTCCTGTGAATGGCAAACAGCACCATCTCCTCCCGCTTTTCTTCGTCCAGTCTATGCCCTCTAGCTTCTCTATAACACCTACTTGGCAAGCTTCTCAAAGAGAAATAAAAAATCATTTGAAGTAAAATTCAACTGGAGGGATCTAATGTACCTTAACAACAAAGCAAAACCAAAAAACCACCCCGCAACCACCAGGCTTTCTAATTTTGTGTTTAAATCACTTCCTTGGATAGGTTCTCACTCTCTTTTATATTTAGTAGATGAGTCCTCAGACAAGTCAGTCTACACCTAAGCATTTCCACGGTGGTAGGAATTGCTGAATTGGAATGTCTTCTAGCATTACCTCCATCAAGCCAAAAGGGGGGATGGGGAGACTTTAGAAGAGGAAAAGCATCCCTAGGACACAGGTTTGACACACAAGTTAGTTCTTCGCCAATGGGATTTGTCCAGGTGACAAGTTATCAAGAGTATCATAAATAGGGAGGGCAGCTAGGTGGCGCAGTGGATAGAGCACCGGCCCGGGAGTCAGGAGGACCCGAGTTCAAATCTTGACTTCTCATCTCATCAGTACTCTGCCATTCTCATTGGACCCTATGACCGAAGAGTGGGATGAGCTGCAAACCCTGCTTAAACAGCTGGGTCAGCAAAGGTTTTCTCTCCACCAGCTGCACTGATTTTGGACTTCTCTGAACCTCCCTATCATTACCTCCACTTCCTCTTTTTCAGCTTCCTTTTATGTTCCATCTTCCCCATCAGATTGCAAGCTCGTTGTGGGCAGGGACTTTTTAATAATTTAAATATTTATCCCCAGCACTTAGCACAATGTCTGGCACACAGCAGGCATTTATTGTTTATTATTGATTATGCATACTTAGCATTACAAAGGAAAACAATTACATTGAAATTTTTTTTCCTAACCAAGTTCTCAGACTCTTTGGGAGTCTATGGATCCCAGGCTGAGAATAATTACATCTAAGATTTATTCTTAATGTGTGAAATGTAGCTGGATTCTATAAGGCTATGCCAGGGTAGCATAAGTTCTATATAATCAAGTCCTTTATAATCAAACTGGAAAGGCTTTAGGTATAGCCCAGGTAGGATTGGGTCCATCTTCTGACAACCAGCTTAGTTTGGTGAGGAGAGACTCATCACCAGAGGGTACCCACACGAATGAGGTATTGGACAAAATGAACACACAGGAAACCATTTATCAGGGGCAATGTAGCATAGTAAATGCTTGTTCCAGTCTGGGGTGTCTGCCATTTGCTATGACTCGGGCAAGTCACTTTACCACAATCATATCAACTTTATCTCAATTAGATCACAGATGTCTGATCACTCTATAAAATACTACACCATTCAGATTCATTGATAGAGGAAGAAACCCACAATTCCCAGAACCAACATTGAGTTTCATACTTATAGAATGTTGGACTCCAGCCCAAGCCCTTCCTTCATTTGACAGATGAATCCTGACCTTCACAATCCTACAGCAGTCAGAAGGGCAGACACAATACACATTAGGAAAAGGAGCCTAGTCAAGTGGCTTGCCTAGGTAACAGCTCACGTGTGGCAAAGAAAACTAGAACCTTGGTCTCGACTCTAGGTCTGTGCCCTTAAACCACATCATAAATTCTCCCAATATTAAGAACTTCAAAGACAAAATCCCAATTCATCCATTTATTTTTGGCAGTACATTGACACGCCTTCAGTTGCGTGCACTAAAGATCATTCCCTAAGTTTTACAAGGAAAGGGAGGCAAGACTGGATTCTCCACCAATCCCCATAAACCTCCTCCCCTCCCCACCAACACAGACACACCCAATATGTTCTGAGGTTTGAGCTAGAAATCAGTAACAAATTTGCTTTAAATACGTATGGTGTTCTATATAACCTATCCAGATTTCATTTCTGGATGCAACCAAGCAACTCTGAATACTTCAGAGAGCTGTGGTCACCCCACTTAACCCAGCCTGGAGATGAAGGTCATTCTGTTGGCAAAGTTTTCCCTGGTGAAAGAGCCTTCTTACTTGCCATAATTCTAACAATCTTGAGTCATCAACAGAAGCAAAATTAAGTTGTGAAAGGCAAATGACAATATTACATGACAGTAACCGGCATAGTATAGAAAACCAAGTTATATCACAGCTTGATAACTCTCAGGATGACCCTGGTTCATTAAAGTGAAATCCTTCACTCACCTAGTACAAAAATCCACACCTTACAGAAATCTCATGCCTTCCAACTAGTCTCTGCTTTTAAGATCTCTAAGGATGGAAACCTGCCTTCTAATCATGGATTTCTTCCATATTTGGAAACAAACCCTGCCCCTCTCCACTTCTACTCTGCATCCCTCCTCACCCCAAATCTCTGATTCCAAACTAAACACTAGTCCAATTCTCACTTAACAACCCAACTCCAACTGGGCCTCTTCAGTGCTAAAGGGTCTGTTGCCTTGATAAGATTCTTCCAACTCCACTGTACAAATTAGATCACTGAGTTGGTTGATTCTACAGTTATCTCTTCTGTATCTCAATTTTCCCCATTGAGGTTTCACTATATGGAGGGCTGGCATAAGATATTAAATAGGAATTTTTTGGGAGTTTTATGGAAGCTGCAGACAACACAAAGTTTAGAAATTCAGAAAATATATGTATAGTATTGTATATCAACATATTTTATCTTTTAATACCATAATAATTCAGATTTCTCTGGTACAAATGTAGGGTCAAAAAATTTCACATGGATTTTCCAGATTGAAGGGGATACCATACCCCTAAAGCCCCACAAAGTGGAAGGGATAATCACATATCCTTTTAGTTTATGGCCAGGATACATCCAAAAGGCTGTCTGGCGTATAGCCTCAATAATGAAACTAAATTGGAATAGTTTCATCTTTTCCTCATGACAAAGTAATTTTTGCTCAGACTATTGGCTCTTATTACCTCAATCCTCTCAGTCCTCAAAATAAGGCAGTTTAATTTCCAGATTTTACAGGCCATTAGAAGGATAAGCTTTAAGTAGTGATTTCTGTTAATCCCCTACTTCCACAGTGGTTTTTAAGAGTGACAAAGCTCTTTGCTCACAATCACCACCTTGGGAGGTAAAACAAGTACTATTTTCAGTCATGCTAGGAGAGACTATTGCTCAAGGTCACACAAGATGCCCAGTGGCAATAGCTAGAATTCAGGTCTGGCTTAATTGATTCTAGGGGATCAGTTATGTTCCTCAGTACCTACAACAAAACAGAACTATCTTTGGCTAAGAAACATACACCACAAATTCAAAGGTTCTCACATCCATTTTGAGCCATTTATTCTAATCTGATTTCCCAATTTCAAATGAGTTGTTACAGACAAGCATTTTTCTAATGGTTTTATTCTTCCAACCATATTTTAATATACACAGGCCTCAAATCTCTGAAGTGCAAGTCATAGCTTATTTTTTTGATCTTCTGTGAAGTTCCTATTTAGAGAAAGAGAAAAAAACTGAATGAGAAACTTGAGTAATGAGAGAAATTCATTTTCTAATAGTTTCTAAAGCTCTTTCCTACAAATAGCCCTGTGAGGGGATACAAGAGATGTGGCTAGTTACGTGGCTACTAATTAGTGGAATTACAAACAACTGGCACTCTTTCAATCCCCACAACACCACAGAGGCGATGAGAACTAAGGAGATTGGTCTTAATTTAGCCACTTAAAAGAACTGCAGAAAACAGCCTTCCCTTTACTTCCAAAATCCGTTATCAAATTCTTCAGAGCTGGACACAGATTCTTAAGGAAATTAGCCCCTCCATACTGGCAGACTTACATTAGTAAGTTATCCAGGTCAAGTCTCAAGTTCTCCTGCCTCCCCAGGAAACCATTCCAGGTAAGGGAGTGAGTGCCCAAGCACAAGCAGGCTTCAGCAGCTGCCCCTAGGGAGTCCCTGTGTCAGACACCATGATCCTTGGCCACCTTCCTGGGCATTATTGCTTCACTTTCTTCATCCTGTCAAAGTAAATGGGCGTTATTAACCCCATCCATACCAGGGCTCTCAGATGCCCCTCCCCACCACCCCAGAAACAGTTCACATCATTTACAAGGGTTTCACAAGCCATTCACTGAACCCATCACATCACAGAAGCACAGTTGTGGGCAAAGGTTTCCAGGGCTGGCTGATATACCAGCCAATGTCACATTTCATCCTTAAGCAGAGACAGTTAAATCACTTCTGATATGGCTGCTTAGGGAGAGTGTGGGCTATGGGGAAAAAATGGCAACAAGGAGATGGCAAAGAAAGCTACACTTAAGTGAGTGACTTAATGAAGTCTAGAAAGATTCTCAATAGATGAATAAAAATCCAAAAGGCAGGGAATTCAGTTGTTTCCAATCTTGCTTACATACCTACTAGCAAGACATGACTGTGTGCCCAGCTCTGACCCATGGAACGAAATATCTGTGCCACACACCAAGGATTGCAATAGGCATGATTTTAATTTGCTTTTTTTTTCTCTTGGTTGACTTAAAATAGTCAAAAAAAGGAACATTCCACAGGCACATTAGACTTTCAAATGAGCTCTCAACAAGAGGAAGGATGCGGACATGAGCAAAAGGGAGTTACCTCGAATTACAGGACTATTTCCACATATGAACTAGCCAAGAAAGCAGCCTTCGTCTCAGAGGTTTCTCTGTTGGGAGGCACAACACTTCTTTTCTCCAGGGACACTGCAGTTTCCATATGCTAGCAGAGAATTCTTAGAACTTGTAAGGCAAGGACAAAGCTAGCTAATAAGTCAATTTCTTTGTTGTTGATTTTTCCTTGTCTACCTTGGAACACTGTGCTACTCCAGTTATCACAAGACTTTAGATTCTAGACTAAAATTTGTCAATGTTTTGGTACAATGGTGCTCTACGGTTACAGGATTAAACTTGCCACCAGTCCTCTGGCTTCCAAATGAGTCAAGTAACACAAATTCGATTACAGCTAAAGCTCGCCTATTCCACGTGTCTGGCCATGCAGACAACAGTGCAACAGGTTGTCATCCTCAAAGAGTGAAGTCATGTTTAATGTACTCAAATGCCAGGACCAGCATGGGCTCTTAATTTCTCAGTTTGGTTTCTGCTGGTCATAAGTTTGACTCTCCCGTCAGCCAACTCCTCCACCTACACTCTCTGCCCTGTGGTCTGCTTTGTCACTTGCTGTCAACACGTCAGACATCCAGCAAAGGGGTGTGTTGTGCATTGAAAGGTAAATGTCAGGAGCACAGTTCATTTCAGACGGTCTTTTAATAGGCTTCGTAAAGCCAAAGAAAACTGTATACAAGAATTCCTTAACCACTTCAAATACAATATCAATGGAATATGCATACTTCTTCCAGTAAAAAAAGGACAATATAAATAAACATTTTCAAGAACCTCTTTTATGGAAAGTTTGCAAGTCTATTTCTGGGTAATTTACAGTATACAGTAAAAATACCTTTATGCAGAGTGAACATACAAGCAGTTTCTCTTTAGATATACCAAGGTGGTCTGCCTCTCCACAAACCCTCACGGCTGCATTCCTACCTTGCTACACTAAAGGAAGGTTACAAAAAGTTGAAGGTAACGCACTTAAAAAAAAAAAAAAAAGAAAAGAAAGGAAAAAAAAAAAAAAAAAGAAAAGCCAAACCTCCACAGCTTGTTCAGCTTCCCGTGAACATTGAATTTAAGGTCCTTTTCTAGCTCAAAGAAAACCGAACCAGGGCCCCCAGTTTCACAAATTTTTGTTGTAAAAAGAAAAAAAATTTAAAAATTAAAACAAATCCAAAAGAAAAAAAATAACAAAAAAAGAAAACCACCACACACCTTGGCTCATGACGAAAAAATAAAATAAAATAAAATCCGAAGTGCTTTCAAAAATGCTTTTTAAAAAAACACTTGAGAACAGACAAGAGCTTTCTTAAAAGAAAAGTCTAATTAGGCCATCTCATGTCCGAAGCTGTCAGGCTGTGTTTGACAAGATCAGAACTGATAATACTACAAAAGTGAATACAAGTAGATGGGTACTACACAATAACGATTCAGCGAAGCTCCAAAAATCTTTATAAATACAGCCATTGGAAGGACGATCTTGATTCAGGAAGGATTTTTACTCGTTGTGTGTAGCTGAGGACAAGAAGCAGGCACAATTGTAAAGGCACTGAAGCACATGACAAGTTGTAGCATTTCACTCCCCTGAATTACTGCGGAGGCTAGGCCACTACATGATCCTAAGGAGAATCCCCCCCCCATGTCTAAAGCGTGTTAGGACACTCCGAGGTCTGCATCGTTAGGAGGTCAGAGAAGGGGACACTAAAGATGCTTTGCAGCTTCAACTAAGGCCTACACATGCATTAACACTAGTTAAGTTCTTTTTTCTTTTTTTCTCTCTCTCTCTCTTTCCTTTTTTTTTTTTTTTTGGCAGAATATGGTTCCTCGCACCAAGACCTGACAGAATGGACTTGTTCCTTACGGGAAAAGCACCGTGATAAGGTCTGAGCGTTGAGAGCCTTAAAGTTACTTCCAGAGATCAGTACAAGGTCATGGAGTCAAGATTCAGAGTTCCCACATACATTGGCGGCGTTCCCTTTTGAACCAGACTTACCATAACTGTCATAGCTGTCTCTGTAAGACCCTCCTGAAGACCGGTCACCGTAGCCTCCTTGACTCCTGCTGAGAAATCACAAATGGGGGAAGGGTGAGTTTGGGGTGCTTTTAAACAGCTAGCTGCACAGGGCAAGTGGGGCACTTTCTGCACAACTACATTTCTTCACGCAGCTATCAGCACTAGTTTATGTTCCTATAGCGAGGGGTCAGTGGTTTCATAGTTAAGAAATAAGACTCATTTAAGTCTGTAGTATGCCAGAGGGCCCTATTTAGAGCCCACCATCCTTACCTGCTGCTGTAATAGTCTCTGGAACCTCCATATCCCCCACTTCTTGATTCAAATCTGCTTCCCCCATAACCACGGTCTCCACCTCCTATGGTACACAGGAGGGAAAGAGTGACTATCAGCACCCGAAGTTGAAAACACAAGTTGAACATCACAATTCCATCTATTATTTCCAACACTTACCTCTAGAAAAACCACGGCCTCGACCCCGGCCTCCACGGAAGAAGCCTCGGCCACTGGAAGAACCTCCTCTGTACCCACGGGACCGGTTTTCTGATGATTTGCCTGCCTGGTCAACTCTAATCTGCCGCCCATCAACAGACTGAAAAGCAAGTATTTCAAAACATTAACCTTAACACACAGAGATGGAGAACTGCCATCCACAGACTTTATTTATTTTCCAATCTCTTCCTTTCTATTGGCCCACTCCCAACTGCCTACAAACGTGCCCGTGTCTCTACCATCCTGAAAAAAAATCTCCTTCTGAGCCTACCTCCCCCCAATATCATCTTCTTTTCTGCCCTTTGTGGCTAAACACCTTGAAAAGGCCATCTACAATAGGTGCCTCCACTTTCTCTCCTCTCACTCTCTTAACACTTTCTAACTTGGCTTCCAAACTCATCATTCAGTCAAAACTGCTTTCTCCAGTTACCAATGATCTGACAAACCCAACAGCCAGTTCTCAATCTTCATTCTTCTTGACCTGTCTAAAACCTTCGACATTGTAGTTCACTCTACCTCTCCTGGCCTCCTTTGCTGGATCCTCCATTAGATCACCCTTTAACTCCCTCTATACTACTTCATTTGGTGACCTCACCAGCTTCCATGTACTTAATGACCACCTCTATGCTGACAATTCTCAAATCTACCTATCCTGCCCCAAATTCTGTGCTAAAAGGACCTTGGATTGTCAAGACTCCTACATTCTAGTCCTAAGCTCCATTTTAACTTTTGATCTTTAACAATTCACTCTGAGTTTCAGATGCCCAGCTGTAAAAGGCAAGGCAGCGTTTTAGATTATTTCTAAGGTCCCATGTGGCTCTAATATTTGTTCAATATTTATTAAGCGCCTGTGTGCAGAGCACTATGCTTGGGAGAGACAAAGTTTGGATGAGACACCATTCCTGCCCTCCTAAGGAAGATAGTCTGGTCAAAGGATAAACCAATTATAATACAAAGGTATTAATTACTTAAGTACATAAAAATAGTAGCTCTGAGGAAGAAATCAAAAGGCTTCTTGTAGAGAATCTGAGTTGGGTCTTAACATGGGAAGGACATTCTAGTCATAGGAACAGCCTGAACAAAGGTATGGGAGGCAGGAGAACTGGGGGTGTTCAGAAACAACAAGGAGTAGGCTAGTTTGGCACATGGTAGGGAAGTAATATGATATTAAAGCTGGAGAATAAAGTGGCAACAGATGGCGCAAAGCCTTCAATGCCAAACCTTAAAATTAAAAAAAAATTCTTTAATTGGTAGGCAATAGAAGACCACTGAAGGCTTTTGAGGAGAGCAGTGATGTAACCAGAACTATGCATAAAGAAGTTTAGTGACAGCAAGGGGGAGAGAGATGTGAAAGCGAAGGCAGAAGACCTCGTAGGAGGCTACTTCAATAGTCCAGGGAGGTGGCAATTGAAAGCCCAGATTAAGCTCTATCAGCATCTGACTCCAATCAAGTCATCAAAGAAGAGAGTCTCGCCAGCCCTTACCTTTCCATTCATGGCCATCATTGCATCTTTAGCATCATCTATGTTCTCAAATGTGACAAAGCCAAAACCTCTGGATCTCTGAGTCTCCCTGTCTTTCACAACAACAACTGGGAGGGAAAGAGGCAGTGATTAGTCATTATAAAAGAACTGAGCCACCACTCCCAAACAACCCCATCTCCAAATTCTCAGGTAAGCAAAACTCTGAAAGACAGGAACTTGATCCAAACTCACCTTCAGCAATCTGTCCATACTTCGAGAAGACTTGTTCCAATGACTGTTCATTGGTATCAAAACTCAGTCCACCAACAAAGAGTTTTCCTTCATCTGATGCCATCTTTACCTAATGAGAAAGAATTTTTTTTTCTGTTTAGAGCCAAGCTGCTGCATTTTCACCTACTTGCTGAACTCCTTCTTCAGAACCAAGACTCCCAATAACATTTAGGGTATTGGCTTTCGAAGTACTGGGTCCCCAATTCCTGGCTTCAGATTGTGATCCCTAAGAAATTAACCATCCCACCTCCTCAAAAACCCAGTCAAATCTGTAAACCACGGCTAAAAAGGAAGTAGGGTGGGGCAAGTGTTAGAGGGAATCAGTGACATATTAAAAAAAAAACACACAAAAACCAAAATACAAGTAGAATCAAAGCTTCACAGGAAAGCAGCATCTAGTTCACTTAAAACTAGGATTCTCAAATCTCCATCTGGGATCTATGCCCAAATTCCTGTGGATTCATTCATTAGAACATCAGATCAAAGGGCCCTTTCCCAGCTTTCATAGGGGAAAAAAACAAACAGGGGCTTTAAAAATAAGCAAAGTCTCTTGGAGCCTGGACAGAGTCTCTCCCTTACTCACTCCCCACCATAGCATGAAATAGCACTTATTTGAAGCCTTAAATTATGATATAAGATTAGAAAGGGCTCTTTAAGCAACTAACTCAACACTTTCATTTTACAGATAGGGAAACCAAGGTCCAGAAAAATTAAGCAATTTGCCCAAGGGTCATACAAGTGTTAAAAGAGCAGAAATGGAAATGGACTAAATGGCCTTGGAGGTACTTTCTTGTTCCTAAGATGATAGCTAGGATCCCATGAAAGATTACCATGGTATAGTGGAAAATGTAAATTAAAAATCAGGAGCCCGTGGGACAGCTTTATAACTCAAAGAGGTCTTATATATTATCTAATCTAGTCCCCAAAGTGCCTTCCCTAAAATCACCTAAGAGCTAAGCACTCTCACCACTCCACTCTGGGCTCCAACCCCAATGCAGCCACTTGCCACCTTGGGATCAAGTCCCTTTCTTCTCTGGGCCTCGGTTTCTCTAACAAAAAAATTAAACCTTAAGTGCTGTCCGTGCAGCAGACCCCTCTTTTTATATCTTTTTCGGGAAGTCCCATGACCACTTTATAGGGGAGTGTTACAGGTGGGTTTTCATGCTTCAGATCCGGAACTGACCAACTGACCTCGAGGTTGCTGCTTTGGGGTGGGCAATCCCGGTGCCCTTCTGGCAGGGGCAGGGTGGGCGAGGCACCCGGAAGGCCTGAGTTGACTCAGAGCAGCACAGGGATGCTCCAGCGCCTCACCACGCTGGGAACGAGGCGCCGACCGCAGGAGCCGGGCCGGGTATGGGAACGGGCCACCTCGGGGCCTACCCTCTCCCCACGCCAAGTAGGCCCTACTCAAGATGGCCGCCGACCACGTGGCTCGCAAGACTCCGGGAGCGCCTTCCCTACCCCTTCCTTAAGTAGGAACTAATTTTTGGGTCCCCTCAGCTTCCCCTTAAATCAGGTCCCCTCTCTCTCGTTCATGGTACAGTCCACCCAAGGCCTCCCTCCTTCTTCCCCTGCCCCCGCTAGCGGCCGCCTGCTTCTGCGCATGCGTGAGGAGCCCCCGCCTCGCCTCCCTGCGCCATTCCATCCGGGCATCTCCGGCGGTCCCCGCCATTTCGCTAGGCGCCCGCCAAGATTCTCGGCCGCCATTTTGCGGCAAAGCCGCAGAGAGCCCGACTGCCCTGACGGCCCCCTGGGACACAGCAACGGCAGCACCCTTACTTCGGCTGTTGGCCGCCGCAGCCGAACCCACCCTGACCCAGCGGGCGGGCCAGTCCTGACCATAGCCCCATACCAGGGGGGCGTGCCGGTGCTTAGGCCCGTCTCCGCCCAGGCGCTGGGCCGCCCGTCTTCTCCTCCCTCTTGCCTTGCTTCCCCTCCCCCCCCAGACCCCGACCACCCCAGGCCCTCCCAGCTCCGCAGGCTCGACCAAATGGTCGGGGGCGGGCTCCCTCACCGGTGTGTTGGATGGGGCGGGAAGATAAGCGGTGTCAGCGAACAGACCAGAGCGACCCGAGCCTCCTAACGGGAAAATGAGCGGCGCGCCCAAGAGCTCGGCCTTATATACGCCACCACGAAGCCACGCCCTATAGCCCCACCCCCCCCGAACCCAGAGGGCCAATCGAAGGGGCCTAAATCCGGACGCTGATTTATATTCATGAGCTTCAGCGAGCTCTCTTTACCCTTTCCAGCCCCTCCCTGCTCCTCCGAGGATGTGTAAAGGGATTGGTGGGGACCATGCCTGCCGCTCCTCCGCAGTCCCCCTCCCCTCGGGGTGAAGAGGCCTCTAACCCCAGGCTGCAGAAGTGCGGGGGCGGGAAGACAGACAGGGGATTGGAGGCGGGGCTAAAATCACGCCCCCTTCTGGGAGCCAGAGGCGGGGCTGACCCAGTTTGGCGCGCTCTCCCTCCAGCACTGCGGCGGCCGAACAAAGGAACTGCAGTGAAAACGGAGACCGCCCCCGCCATCTTGGAGGCCTGGGCCCCGCCCCCTCCCGAGGCCCCGCCCCTCGGGAACCGTCTAAGACGCCCCGCCCAGAGACGGCCGAGCTCATCCCTCCGCGGCCCCCAGTCCGAACCACCGGGAGTCACAGCTCCTCCACCTCCTCACCCCACCCCCACTCCCCGCAAGACCCGCCAACGCTCGAATGCTTGGTGGTTATGTCCCAAAGATCAAACCTTCCTCCCCCGCCACCCCGCTAAGCCCCTTACCCCAACCTCCCCCAATGCCCCAGGGCCCCACGGACCATCCCCTCCCCCCAGTCCCCTACCCCTACCTCGCCCAAAGCGCCAGAGCCCCGCAGGTCACCCCCACCCCAAGCTTGCTAATTCCTCCCACTTTCCCGCTCCAGGGGCTGTCCCAAGTCCACCAACGCTCAGGTGCTCCACGGGTTACCCTCCCCCCACCCCGCCGGCAAATCCAGCCGTACACCCAACCCACCTCGTATCTGTGCCACACTCTGCTTTCCTTCCCACCGTGTCCTGGTGGGCTATAGCCCCACAACCAAATCACCCATCTGTGGCCCAAGAGTTGTCCCCCCGAGTTCACCCACACACCCACACTTGGTTCCGTACGTTTGCTGCTTCTCGCTTCCTCCCCCCAGCAGCCCACACAATAACCCACATCCCTGTCAGTTACCAATGACCCGGCTTCCTAACCTAGGTGTCATCTATGACCCTTCCCTCTTCCTCATCCCCACATCCAATCGCTTACCAAATTCTGCCATTTGTACCACTCCCACATTTTGCATCCAGCCCCTTTTAGATCTGTCTCTGTGTCCCCAGCTCTGAATTCCGTGCTCCATACTGTTTGTGGAATTGAACCGAATTCCTTCAGGTCCCCACCCCCACAGCTCCGACTATTCTTAGCACTCCATGCTCTGGGACGCTACCATCCACCTGTCATGCTTAGACTTGGCGGAGCTGGTAACAGACTTTGGAAACCACTTCATTTAAAATAATTTTGTCATTCCGTATTTTTCTGGACTTGTGATTTCCTCCCTGCAAGGTGGAAATGATCAGCATCTACAGATGACATGCAGATCTGGTGCTTTCTCCGCAATTTAGAAAGTCTCAGGAAATTAAAGCATCTGATACATGCCAGAGGCCTTTCTGCATCTATGTTGAGAACTCCATCTACAGTACCACACTGGTTCTCTGGGAGCCGGTGCTAGACCTGGAGCCAGGAAGACCTAAATTCTAATCTTGCTTTACGCGTAGTAGCTGTGTGTGACCCTGGGCAAGTCACTTTCTGTATCTCATTTGTAAAATGGGCATGACAATAGCACCAAAATAGCACCTCCCAAAATTGTGGGAATAAAATGAGATAATATTTGTAAAGTACAGGTACATTGAAAACTTCAAAGCTCTATGTAAATAATAGCTGTTGTACATTTATATGTTTACTTGTATAAATGTAACATACCCGTGTACCAGCAGGAGATGCAACATAATGTAGTAAAGGGCCAGCCTCAGAGTCAGGAAAACCTGTGTTCAAATCCTGCCTCTCTGCCTGGTAATGACTTACTTTATCCATTTCCCAACCCAAGCATTTTCACAGCCTCATGGCTGGACTTCTCTGCCTTCTCATCGCCTTGCTTTCCTGGCTTCCTTCAAAATCCCACCTTCTGCAAGAAGCCTGTCCTGGTCCTCCTTAATGTTCAAACCTTCCCTCTGACATTATCTCCAATTTAGTTTGTACCTAGTTGTTTGAATATTGTTTCTCACTCCCGCCCCCTCTCCCCACTAGATTGTAAACTCCTTGAATGCAGGACTATCCCTGACTTTTTGTATTGCCAGCACTTAGGACAGTGCTTTGGCACCTAGTAGGTGCTTAATAAATCCTTGTTGACTTGAATATGAAGATAATGTCAGGGCAGGGCTCTAGAGCCCATGGGTTCCCAAAATGGGCGATGCTGGGGGGGGGAGGGGGCAGTAGTAGCCTCGGGTACAATTGGGGGGCATTGAATAAAAATAAGGGGGGGATGGAAGCGTAAGGAAAGAGGAGAGAATAAAATTTTGAAAAACTGTACATGTTTCATCTGTTGTGTAACAGAGTTAAAGTCATAGTGATTACATTATTTTCCAAATAAATACACAAAATACAAGTTATAACATATCAGTGATCAAGTCCTCCAACAGGTCTTAACAAGCAAGTGTTGGCAAGGAGGCATGCCATGCATTGTCGGGAAGTCCAGCATGCATTGGCAGGAATATGTCTGTTTAATGACTTGTTTACAATATGATACTAAATGGTTACATGACATAATATTGCATTATCAAAATTTCAATGCAGGAAAAAACTCACAAATTTACAATAAATTATTAAATTTAAGATGTCATTTTTTAAAGAAAATTTATATTTTTTGAAGTGATACAAATTTAAAAAAAAAAGTTAAAGTGTTAAAGAAAGTAGATTTCCAAAGGGGTGTGGAGTAAATTTTTAAGGGGGTGGTAGACCAAATAAATTTGGGGACCTCTGGAATAGCTGTTAACTTGGAGAGGAGGTTGCACAGATCATTATAGCAAATGTGTCTGATAAAAGTCCAACACCTAAGAAATATAGAGAATTGATACAATATAAAAATAAGAATCGTTCCACAATAGATAATCAGTCAAATAATATGATCAGGCAGTTTTCAAATGACTACCTGAAAGAATATTCCAAATCACTAATAAGTGAAATATAAATTATAATAACACTGAAGTCCCACCTCAGATTGGCAAGGACAAAAATGAAAGATGGCAATTGATGGAGGGGCTGTGGTAGGATAAGCACACTAATGCATTGTAGGTGAAGTTGTGAATTGGTCCAGTCACTCTGAAAAGTAATTTGGAACTATATCCCCAAAGTCACTAAACTATACATACTATTTCATCAGTGATACTACCACTAGGCCTATATCCCCAAAAGGGCAAAGTCAGAAATAAAGGACCTAAAAGATTTATATAAAAACATTTATAGCAACATCTTTTTGTTATAACAAAAAAAAAAAGGAAGTAAGGCTGCCCATTGATTATGGAATAGCTGCACAAATTGTGGTTTAAGAATGTAATGAAATATTAGAATATAAAAACAATGACTAATATGGAAGATTCAGAGAAACTCAAGAAGATTTGTGTAGTAGGGACCAATCCCCTGCTCAGAATTGTTCATCACCAACCACTTACTTGTGTAGTAAGAGAGGAGGAATGGATTAGTGGTTGGTATAGAAATGAGAGAAAGACAGAGAGACAGGGACATAGAGAGACAGAGACAGAGACAGAAAGAGAGAGAGAGAGGGACAGAGAGGCAGAGAGAGAGACAGACAGACAGAGAGTAAAAGATTTAAACATACACAGAAAAATCAAAAAAAAAAATTCAGGAGGTTAGGTAGGATACTTTTGTTACCACATTTATTAAATTTTAAAACACTTTTTTTAGATGTTCATGATTTCAAGCAAAAATTTTTTTGTTTTCTTCCTATTAAAATATTTGTTTTTACTTTTTTCAAGTTTGGGATAATTTATTTTAATTTAAATTTTTTATATTTCATTTTTTTCCAATTACATGTAAATACAATTCTTAACAATTCATTTTGTAAAATTTTGAATTCCAAATTCTTTCTCTCCTTGCCATTTCTCCCCCCCTCCTTGAGAAAGCAGCCAATTTGATGTACGTTATACATGTGCAATCACGTAAAACATATTTCCATATTAGCTACGTTGCAAAAGAAAACAGACAAAAAAAAAACAACCCAAGAAAAATAAAGTTTTAAAAAAGTATGCTTCAATCTGCATTCAGACTCCATCAGTTCTTTCACTGGAGGTGGATAGCATTTTTCATCACATGTCCTTCAGAATTGTTTTGGATCCTTCTGTATCTGAGGATAGCTAAGTTATTCACAGTTGATCATTGTACAGATTGCTGTTACTGTGTACAATGTTCTCCTGGTTCTGCTCACTTCCCTTGTATCAGTTAATTTAAGTCTTTCCAGGTTTTTCTGAAATGATTCTGTTTATCTTTTCTCATAGCACAATAGTATTCCATCACAATCATATACCACAACTTGTTCAACCATTCTCCAGTTGATGGGTATTCCCTCAATTTCCAATTCTTTGCCTCCACAAAAAGAGCTGATATAAATATTTTTGTACATATAGGTCTTTTTCTCCTTTTTTTTCAAATCTCTTTGGGATACAGACCTAGTAGTGGCATTGCTGGGTCAAAGATATGCACACATTAGGTATAGCTTCAAATTTCTCTCCAGAATGATTGGATTAGTTCACAACTCCATCAACAGTGAATTAGTGTCCCAATTTTTCCACATCCCCTCCAACATTTGTCGTTTTCCTTTTCTGTCATATTAGCCAATCTGATAGGCGTGAAGTGGTACCTCAGAGTTGTTTTAATTTGTATTTTTCTAATCAATAGTGATTTAGAGCATTTTTTCATATGACTATAGATAGCTTTGATTTCTTCTTCTGAAAACTACCTGTTCACATCTATTGATGTTTATCAATTGGAGATGACTCATATTCTTATGATTT